AAAACAAAACAACAACAATCCTCATCGAACAAATTATGTGAGTACATATTATTCTTTTTTCATATTTCTTCAATCAATCAATTTCAATCATTCTCTTAAACAGAAACAGCTGTTTGACAATAGCAGAGAAGATTTGGCAACATTTTCGTGTGCACAGCCCTCATACTAAGCTCTAAAGCACATTCCTTACAAATGTGGCACAAATCAAAAGGAGAAGTTTTAAAATTTATAAATGTTTGAAGAGTTTATCAAAGCACCCTTGAAGCTCTCTAGATGGACTTGGATCAACTCAGTAGTTTAGTGCAAAAGTCAACCAAGAAAAAAAAAACWGTTTAAGCCAAATTTGTGCATAACTGTTAGCAGCTCAAGTATGCACCATGAGTGACTCTCAGTTATGAAACCATATCATTGCTCAGTAAAACTGACTGAGTYATAGCCACTTTTGTGTTTGCTAAGTTTAATTAGCTGTGGTGGCCATCTTGGTCAGGTGGACTCGAGACGTTTTTTCTGATGTACAGTTACATCCAGTGATTGTTAATTCCATTAAAATCTAACCAGTGGTTCATGAGATATTTATCAGACAAGGAAACAAGCATACATACAAAGACATTTACATAGTTTTAGTGTCTTCTAATACTTGGATCTTCAATGAGAACAAATTAACACATTATAGAATCTGTTGCTTTAAACAGAATATCTTGCCATCAGATTAAATCAGGTGTTTAAAAGTTCACATTCAGGCTCTGTGTTCTCTTTAATCCATAGTTTTTTATGTTTTAAGATTTACTGTGGCCTATGAGCTGAAATAAGAAATATGACTGCTCAAAATTGAGGGAACCAGGGGTGAGGGATGCTGTCTTTGATTCTTAGAGAAGCACTGATGATTAGGGCTGCCACAAACGATTATTTTAATAATCAATTAGTCGTCGATTAATCGATTAATCGTGGCAGCCCTACTGATGATGCAGTGAAAGCAATGCTTTGGTGTATTTGGGGTTTTATTATTTAAAGGTCAACTCTAAAAAGACAATACTGACTGATTTTGATTATGTTTATGTGTCTTTTGCAGGTGATAGAGGACTGGAAGTACGTGGCCATGGTGGTGGATCGGATGTTCCTGTGGATCTTTGTCATAGTGTGTGTGGTGGGCACGTTGGGCTTGTTCCTCCAGCCCSTCTTCCAGAGTCAGATTATTCCCAACCAACCTCCCATTTCAGAGACTCCTCGCATATGATGAGCACTGAGGGAGAAGAGGCACCTTCAGGGTCCTCATTAGGGCTTTTAGGATTACATTTTGTAATTGTAATAATGTAATAAACTTTTTTTCTTTAATTTATGCTGTATAGGGACCAGAAAGACTGACTTATAGGCCTTCTCTTCTAAACGCTACACGGGACACTAAAGGGAGAGAACAGCAGCGTAAACGTGATAAGATGTTTGAAAATGAAAACTAATGTCTCTGTCTTTAAACCTCCATGAGCTGAATGGAGCACCGACACAAATCGTCTGCCCCGGAAGATGCAGCATCTGTAAAAGACAAGAACTGAACTGCAGTGAAAATGTACTGAACCATAAAAACATGACATTTGACAAAGACGTGTCTGTAGTTAAAAAGTTGTTTGCCTCCTGATTTTCCTCATTTGTGTTTCTGTGTTACTGAAAACATAATAAAAGCAAATCTCTGTCCCTTTTTTTTTACACTGATTTAATGTATAAAGCTGACAAAAGTCTTAAAACAGYCAGGTTCTTGCCAAAGTACTTTGTTAAACTGTTTTGCAGGTGATGAAATCTGGACTCAGAGCCAATATGTTGAACAAAGAAATGCCAGGTAGGAACATTTTATTATGGAGATAAGAAAAACCAATCACTTTAAATGTGAGACTGTGTGACCAAGCAAAAAAAAAAAAAAAAAAAGCTAAATGATATTGCAACAAAACTGCTGAGGATGGAGCTGGTCTTGATTATTATGTCTTGTTAAGTTGGGTGCTTTCTGTAGTTTAATAAACACTGCCTTTAAATGTTCTACASTTTTTGATCCACAAAGAGAGGTTTTCTCTGATAATTAGGGCCCATTTGTGTCTTTACACATAAGCTGAATTTWAGTAATTGTCTCTTTTTGCAAATAAGTGGGAGCCCACGGAGGAATGGAGGTAAACAAAGTTCACAACAAACATAGCCGGAGCTCTGGTTTACTGCTTAATGAACTCTGCTGAGTTGGCTCGTTAGAGATTCTGCAGACTGCTGCTTCCTTTAAATCAACAAATGGCAATCAGCGTTTAAAGGTAATGAGCAAATTTACTACAGTTGACTTTATGTTTTAAATTCCTTAATATTATTAAACAGTTAAATCAATAGTTTAAAAAATAGAATTGTTTTCCAACTTGTGATAAATCCATGTGAATGCTTTCTAGGAATTTCAGTGTCTTTTGTAAACTGTGTCTTAAAAAGGATGACCAACCTTGTGTAGGTGTCCAAACAAGTTAAAGTTTTGTTCAGCCTTTTTAGAGAACTGAAAACCTTGAAAAGATGTGATAAGAATAAATTTAACTTACCTCAATTTAAAGAAGTTCCAGTGGTTGAATCTGCTCCTGGGAATGATTTGTCTTGGTTATTTGTGAGCTAAAAGCCCTACCACATAGCCAAAAGATTTCTGGCCCAGTTCTGGCCCACACAATGCACTAACACAGATACAGCAAAGAATGACAGCCCTTTGGTGGCCCAGCTGCACAAACCTAAACACAACCAGGCCGGTGGTGACATTTTAGATTTGGGCCAAATAAACCAAAACCTACGGAAGCGTATTGCTATCAGGCAGGGAAAAAAAAATTCCGAGCGCTATCACGTTATAACGTGATAGCGCTCGGAATTTTTTT